ACTAATCCTAATAGTATTTCTTACCTTAGATTCAAAATACCAATAGGTTGAAGGTAAAAGAAGGGGGGGGAGGGAAGATGCACCATGCCAACAGTAAGCATGAAAGAATTTTCCAGAATTGATGAAAGATATGAATCCTGAGATTTAGGGAGAACACACTCAAAAATATCACAGTGAAACTGCAGAATACCGAAATCAAAACAAGATCTTAACAGCAACCAGAGAGAAACAAAAATTACCTACAAAGACAATCAGGTTGACAACAGGCTTCTTAACAGCAACAATAGACAGAAAACAAAGGAATACACTGAAAGAAAATGAATCTTGACCTAGACTCCCCCATAATAAGCTAAACTATATCAAATAGTGAAGGTAAAATATATTTTTTTATTAAAGACAGAGCTCGCTACTTAGAAACAGTCACTAAAAACGTGCTAAAGAATATACTTTAGGAGGCAGGAATGAGATGCAAGACAGGTATAATGAGGAGGAAGAAAGGTAAAGATGTGAGCACATATAATCAAGTACTAATAACATAAAAAGTAACAACAATAATAAAGAATAATTTGAGAGGTTGAAAAAGGTGAAACTAAAACACTAGGCAACAAGTACATATAAGAAAGGAAAAGACCATCAAATTTAAAGTGCCCTGATAGCACTTAAGTATTTGTGGTGAGGGATATGTTAATTAGCTTGATTTAATTACTTCATATTTTATTCGTAAATCCTAACATCACTTTGTACCCCATAAATATACATAACTACAATTTGTCAAATTACAATAAAAATAAAAAGTAAAAGAAATCGAAGAAGAACTAAATAAGTGGAAAGACATCCAATGTTCCAGTTAGTAATACTTAATATTGTTAAGAGCACAACAGCCTGAGCAACATAGTGAGACCCCCACCTCTACAAAAAATTAAAAAATTAGCAGGGCATGGTGGCCTGCACCTATAGTTCTGCTACTGAGGAGACTGAGGCAGGAGGACTGCTTGAGCACTGAAGTTCAAGGCTGCAGTAAGCTATGATAGGCTGGGCGCAGTGGCTCATGCCTGTAATTCTAACACTCTAGGAGGTCACAGCAGGAAGACTGCTTGAGCTCAGGAGTTCAAGACCAGCCTGAGCTAGAGTGAAACCCTTGTCTCTACTAAAAATAGAAAAATTAGCCTGGCGTGGTGGTGCACAACTGTAGTCCCAGCTACTGGGGAGGCTGAGGCAGAAGGATCACTTCACCCCAGGAGTTTGAGGTTGCAGTGAGCTACAATGACACCACTGCACTCTACCCAGGGTGACAGAGTGAGACTCTGTCTCAAGAAAAGAACACGAAGAACACGATACCCCATAAATGCATTTACAGATTTAATGCAACCAATCTCTTCAAATTCCCAAATGTATTTTTTATAGAAATCAACAACTTCCCCCAAATCCATATGTATATGCAAAGGAAACACAAATCACAAAGCAGTCTTTTAAGGACTAACAAAATCCTATGATTTAAACTTACTGAAGTCAATCATCACTACAAAGTTACAGTAATCAAAGCATAAGGTAATAGCAGAAGGGCAAATTCATGCAGACTAATGAAACAGATTTGAAGGTTCAGTAATAAACACATGCATTTATGATAAGCTGATTTTAATAAAGGGGTCAAGAAATTCTAATGAGAAAAGAAAAGTCATTCCAACAAATGATGCTGGAAAAATTGGATATCCACATGCAAAACAATTAAGTTGGACCCCTAACTCAAATCACACACCAAAAAACCAAAAATACTCAAAATGAATCATACATCAAAATGTAGGTGTTAAAACTACAAAAGTCTTAAGAAAGACATTAGACTAATTTTTTATGATCTCGGATTAGGCAGCATTTTCTTAAATTCTACACCAAAAGCACAATCCAGAAGAGAAAAACTGATGAATTAAACTTTGCCAAATTTAAAATGTTTTGTTCTTCAGGCAAAAATGAAAACTTTGAAATACAGTTCACTGAATGGACAAACCATCCCAACTGACAGCTTGATATCAGATTTCTAGCCTCCAGAATTGTGAGAAAATAATTTTTTATTTCTAAAAAAAAGAAAGAAGAAGGGAAGAGGTCATCAAAATTAAAGTGTCTTAAGGTCTTTTCATTGTTCAAGATAGGGTAGAAAATATTGTCAGCTTCAAACTTTAAATATACACATTAAAACTATAAGGGTAACCACAAAGAATAAAATAGAATATATAACTGCCAAACCAGTGTAGGATCTGGCAAGGAAAAGAATAAGGAAAACTCAATCAAACCAAAAGAAGGCAGCAAAAGAGTAGAAAATCATTACCCAAAAGGCAGGATAAAGAGAAGATACAAATAAGATGTTAGAAATAAATCCAAGCACATCTACAATCGCAATAAATATAAATGTACTAAACTCTCCAGCAATTATCAGAATGAATACAAGGCAAAATCTAGCTATAAACTATTTACATAAAACATACGGGAACATAGGAGAATAAAAAGCTTTAAAGTAAAAGACAGAAAAGATGTTCTTGGCAAATACTAAACAAAAAATAGACTTCGGAGAAAAAAAAGCATTATTAGAGATAATAATAGGGTGACATCTCTGGTCCTTGAAACCTATTTCCTCTTCTGTAAAGCAGGGATAATAAGCCACACCTCCAGGCTAAATAAGTCAAGTATATGTGAAGTCGTGAAGTATATGTGAAGACATCAAACTAAAAAATTAGTCTAATGTCTTTCTTAAGACTTTTGTAGTTTTAACACCTACATTTTGGTGTATGATTCATTTCGAGTATTTTTGGTTTTTTGGTGTGTGATTTGAGTTAGGGGTCCAACTTAATTGTTTTGCATGTGGATATCCAATAGTGAAAAGTGCTATAGGTTTGCTTCCTGAATCCTAGAAAAAAAAAAGTCCTATAGGGAGGAGGAGGAAGAGGAGGAGCAGGAAGATGACAACAGCACAGGGAAGGGGAAAAGGAAATGTTGGGAAGAGGAGTTAAATTAAACTTTTAGAACATTTGGGAAAAGACCTGAAAGCAGTGAGGATGTGATCGTGGGCATGCCTGGGACGGAGACATCCAGGCAGAGGCAATGCACAGGCCCTAGGGCTGGAGCACACCTGTGGGGGCGGGAGCAGCAGGGGGCCTAGTGCAGCTGGAGTGAGAGAGAGGGGAACAGTGTTAGGAGAGGAACACAGAGGTAGCTCCCGCCAGGTCACACAGGGCCTTGTAAGTCACAGTCAAGTCCTTGACATTTATTCTGAGCAAGGTGAGGGTTTTGAGTAGAAGAGTGAGCAAAGGCGATTATGTATTTTAATGACCACGCCGGCTTTAGTGAGAGGATGAAGTAGAGCAAGGGCAAATACAGGAGACCAGCTAGAAGGCAGCACCACAGTCCAGGCAAAAGGACATGGTGGCTGGACTGGCCTGGTGGCTGTGGGGGTGGTGAGGAGTAGTTGGATCCTGGATATATTTTGAAGGTGAGACTAATAGGATTTGCTGAAGGATCAGCTGTGGTTTGTAAGCAACAGAGAAAGGACTGAAGACGGATTTCAGGCCTTTAGACCAGAGCTCCTGGAAGGATAAAGTTGCCATTATCGGAAATGGAGAAGACAGTTGACGGTGCAGCAACTGGCGGTGGGAGGGGGAGTGGTAATCAGCAATTTAGTTCTGGACATCTTGAGTTTGAGATGTCTACTGCACATCCAAGTGAGATTTCAATACACACCTACATACGCATGCCCGGCATTCAATGGAAGGGTTTGGGCTAGAGACATGCCTTTGGGAGTTCTCGGGCTCTCAGAAATACTCAAAGCCATGGGCCAGGATGAGACTGCCTAAGGAGTAGGTGGAGAGAGAAGTCTAGGGCCTGAGACCCCAGACAACTCCAGCGTTTCGATCCCGGGGAGCTGCAGAGGCACCCGGGACACACTGGGAATAAGCAGCACGGGAGAAGAATCTAGAGGGGGTGGTATCCCCAAAGCCAGCTGAGTAAAGTGTTTCAGAAAGGAGAGAGCCATCAGCTGTGTTAGATGTTGCTGATGGCTCAAGTAAAACGAAGACTGAGCATTAACTAGTGGGGTTATTAACGCAGGCTGGTCTGGTATGAAAAGACAGCCGTGCCTGCCCGATTGCCTGGTCCAGGCAAAGTGACAAAGGAACACCGAGAGACTGCAGCAGCGAACAATGGGAGCCGAGGTGGACACTCTTTTGTGTTGCTCTTTCCCCCCAGCAAACAGTAAAAATAGCTAACCTTTATTGAGTGCTGGCCATGTGCCAAGAACACTATTAGGATGCCTATTTTTAAATAGGGAAAGTGGGGCTCAGAAAAGTCAAGTAACTCGCCCCAGGTCACCCGGCTGGTAAGGAGCTGAGGCAGAATTCAAACCCATCTCCTGAGGGTAATTATTAAACTGCACTACCACCGTTCAATTAAGGGGAAAGTCTACCCTTAGGTATGAAACTCACATTTATAAGATACCAATTTGGGGCCACATTCTTTGTGTTTGCATACATTTTCTCACTGAACTCTTGCAAAACCCTTGTGAAATAACTATGGCTACTACTGCCATTTCACAGATGAGACACAGGGTATCTTGCTGGTGGTCCTGCAGGATGGGGGGTGGGGAGCAGAACTCAGGTCAGATCAGCTCTGAGACCACAGGGTGGCCCCTGCCCTGTCTGCACCAATCAATCCTACCTGCCACGTGGGGTGGGGGCAGGGGGAACAGTCAGGCCTGGAGAGGGCTGGGGAGCCTCAGGGAACTGGTGTTGTCCTTAAGAGCTCAGCACTTTGAGGACACTCGGTGGGTTTTAAGGGCGTGACTCTCTGAGGTCCCCAGTCTGAGTCAGCTCCAGGGGTCCCCAGCAGGTTTCCCAGTTCCCCCAGAGCCAGACCTGAGCTCTGTCCACAGGCAGAGCCTCTGGTTTTAAGGCCTGGGCTGAGCATGGGACTGAATCCCCCTCCTGCCCCTTCCTCCAGGTCCACCGGCCTCTCCCTACCTGTCCAGTGGTGAGGGAACGGCTGTAGCCAGGGATGGAGCTCCGGGGGTGGATCCGGGGTGGGACACAGCAGCTGGAAAAGGTCAAAATCCCAGAGTGAGAACAGTGGACTGCTAGGACGTGGGGGGTGGAGGGGGATGACAGCACTGGGGCTCCCGAGCAGGTTCTAGTCCCCAGAACAGAGATTTCCCCAGGAGACTCCTCCCAGGAGGCACTCAGACAGGGACCACTGCCAGGGACCTCCCCTTTATATGGGGCAGTGAGACACCCCAACTGAACCGTAGGTAGGGCCACCCGGCAGGGGCCCGATCTACACACGTCTCCTGCAAGAACCCAGGACCAGCTCCCAGAACCCCCACCCCAGCCCTCCCAGCCCTTACTTGATCCTGGCCTGGTCCACGCTGGAGGAGCGGCGGGCGGTGAAGCGCCGGGCAGCGACTGCTTTGGGCGATGTCTTGGGGCTGCCATCGGAGTCTCCGCTCTCCTCATCCCCCATGGCTTTGATGTAGCTGCCGCTCCGCATCCTGCGGCAGGGGATCTCCCCGTCCTTGCCACCAGTGGGGTAACCCCCCCAATCGTCTTGCGGCACCTGCAGGGACAGCAGCCTCTGGCTCTGAGACACGACCCTGGCAAATCTAGAGGCCAGGACTCTCTTGCCCTCTGCCAGTGGGGGGCGCTCTGCCCCGGCTTGAGCAGACCTCACTCAGGAGCATGCAGAGGTGGAGCAGGAGGTGGGGGTCCCAGGCCGCCCCCCTCCCTCACAAAGAGACGCCTCATCATCCTCCACGGCCCCTTTGCCACTTACTGGGGGCCACCTAGATAGTCTTAGGGAGTGACATGCCAGGCACCAAGAGGTTGAAGATCAGGGCCAAAGTGACCTGTGTTGATCTCACCCCCAGCCGTGAGGCAGCCTCCGACCTCAGTCACCTTTCACCCTCCTTCTCAGTCATCCTGTTAGCACGCCTACATTGCAAACCCCCCGACTGCCCCCTCCCCTTTAGGAGCCGCAGAGGTTTGATGCAGGGAGTGCCCCTGGATCTGAGTTTCAGAGCGAGCTCTCCGACAGTCCAAACAGACGCTGCACTGCAGAGGGCCGGCGCGGGGCAGGGGCTCAAGTGGTGGGAGGCAGACCAATTAGGAGGCTGAAGCTGTTATCCAGGCAAGAGATGATGAGGCCTAAATTAAGACGATGACAATGAGGGGGAAGAGGAGATGGAAATGAGAGGTGTTGAGGAGCATCAGTGAGCCTGATTAGACGTGGGGGATGAGGGGGCGGGAGGATGCCTGCCAGGCTGCTGGCTGAGGGCCTGGGGGGTGGCGCTGCCGCTCTCAGAGCCCCAGGGCCCCGGAGAAACAGGCCTGGGGAGAGGTGATGGGTTCAGGGTTGAGCACCTTGAGTTTGGCATTGGACTGTGGAGCAGGTGGCTGGATGTTTGGTTCTGCGGTTCAGTGGGGACTCGGGGCTGGAAGCAGACATGTGGGAGTTGTGGGGTGCAGCTGGACCCATAGGAGTGAATGAGGCAGCCCAGGGGAAAGAAGAAACAGAGCTGAGAGATCCGCTGACATTTAAAAAAGGACTGCAAAGAAAGGAAGAGGAGCCTGTGGAGTCACCTGAGAAGGAGTGGGCAGAGGGTAGGAGGGAAGTCAGGAAAATGCCATGTCATAGAAACAGGAGACATTTCAAGAATAAAAGGAGTCGATTATGTCAAATGCCACAGTGCGTTCAGAGGTTAGTAACTCAGGCTCAGGAGTTAGAAGATCCATGTGCAAATTCTGGCCCCATCTCTTGTGAGCTAGATGAACTTGAGCAGAACCCATTAACCGCGGAGCGTCAGTTTCCTTGTCTGTGAGTCGGCAATGATAGTCATGCCTGCACCTGAGGGGTAGTGGGCAAGACGAAGGAGCAGGACATAGGAAGTGCTCAATAAATGTTAACTACTATTGTAAGGACAGCTCTCAAAAGACCATTGGTGACCGCTGCCAGGGCACTTCGGTGACAGGGGGTGTGGAAGCCAGAGCTTCCACAGTGAGGACTGAAGGGAGGTGAAGAAGAGCTTGGATGTGCAGGGAAGATGGGACATGTGGCAGGGGGTGGGGTTGAGGAAAGACTTTTTAGGATGAAAGTGACTTGGGGCATGTTTTCAGGATGCGGGAAAGAGCCAGTAAAGATTGTCTTTAAGCATGGGAAGGAGGAGGCAGTCCAGGGATGGAGGGGTCCCGAGGAGATGGGGTCAAGCCCTGGGCAGGACATCAGCCTGGGATAGGTGGCCATGGCTTTTCCTCTGAGCCAGGGAAGAGGAAGAGGGTGGCTGGGGACCCAGATGAGTCTAGAAGGGCAGAGACAGGGAGCTGGGGGAGCCCTGGTATCAGCCTGCACTGTGAGGAATGAGGGATAGGCGAAGGCGTGGGGGAGGGCGTGGGGGAAGGTGGGGAGGTTTTAAAACACTTGTTGTGAAGAATGGGTTAAATGGAGTAGGGAGGCCAAGCTTCGGGGACAGCATAGGGTTCAGGGAAGGGGTGGACACTCTGGGGGTGAGGCTAGGCGAGGAGACAGAGATCAGTGTGAGAACAGGGACCCAGGGATGGGACGGAGCCCCAAGAAGGAATCCACAGGGAGGAACAGGGCTCAGCAAGGGCCTGGAGCTCCATGGGAAGATGGGAACCCAGAAAGGTGAGGCTCCATGAGGGAACAAGGGCTCAGAGTGGAAAGAGGGATTCTGGAAGAGGGTAAAGGAGAGAAACAGGGCCTCAACACGGATTGAGAGTCCCAACAAAGACACACAGTGGAGTGAGCAGACACTCCACTGCTCTGACACTGGGGGAGCAGGAGGCTATCTGGAGGGTCCCTGCAGCCCTTTGGTTCTCCCCACCTGGGCTCAGTCCTGAGATGCCCTGGAGCCCCAGACCCTGAGGGATCCTTCCCCTTGCCCATATGCCACAGAGAGAGCGGCAGGCATGTGGAGCAAGGCCGGCCAGCAGATGGGACAGCCAGGGCACATGCTGCCACGCTGCAGGCTCCCACTCTGTAGCCACTGCAGAGCCTTTGCAGGGCACTGTGAGGTGCATGTTAAAAAGGAAGCCCCCAGGGAGGTCAGAGCAGCCCTGGAGAAGCAGCAGGGAGCAGTGGAATGGCAGCACAGGGATGGCAAGGGCTCAGTCGCTGGGGAAAAGGTGGGTGTTCCTCCCTGGACCCTTCAATTCTCAGCTTAGAGCACCTCTCTATTCAGGCAGAGGGCAATCCAAGGCCTACCCACAAGTCCTGAATTCCAGAAGTCTCTCCTGCTTCCACTGTGGCCCTATGTGCTTTCTTGGGTTTTCATGAGTTCCCCAGGAGAGCCCTAATTTGTGCATGATTTACCCAACAAGGCCAATGACACCCCAAAGACACACACCATCTCAATTCTCCATGTCTTTGGATATGCTGTAGTCTCTTCCTGACACCTTTAATCTGCACTCAACTATCTCCAACTCCTCCACTGAGATTCAGTTCAAGGGACATTCCTCCCAGAAAGTGTTCCTTCCAAGCAATCCCTGCCACCATCACCCCAGGGGTTGAGGTGCCTCCTCCATGTCTCCATAGTACCCAGGGCTCTCTCCTGTCAGCCTCATCACACTCTATTCTACCCACTTCCTTGTCTACCCTCTGAACTGTGAGCTCCTCACAAGCAGCATCTGTGTCTTTATCTTTGTACCCCAGGAAATGTCCAATGAATGAATGACTGTATATTAATTATACAGAATGTGGGTTTGGGGGATAATCCAAAATCTGCTGGACCTCCAAAACTTGTACTGATTTTTCCTCCCAAAACTACAACAGGGCTTGAGAAAACAGTGTGGGCTGGATGAGGCTGGGAGGAAGGCTCCCTAAGTAGGGGTTAAAGCTCCTAGCTTCACCTGCAGTGACTACAGAGGTGGTAAGATAGGACAAGAACAGCATGCCAGCTGTCACCTGCACCATCCCTCCCAGGAGGCCCTGCCTGGAGTTATACCAAGGCTCAGTCTCCAGTGTGTCCCCCAGCCTACGAGAACCTATGGGCCAGGGCCCGAGGGCTCCTCCACAGCTTTGTGGGCTGCCCCACCACAGGTCCCCCAGAATGGCAAACCCCAGCAGAGGCACATTCTGGAAGCAACTGACCTTCATGTTCAGGCAACATCTGTACCACCCAGATTTCAGCAGAAAAGAGGTCTGGAGAAGGCCTTAGGGCAGGAGAACTGCCTTCCAACTGCTGCCCTCCAATCTCGAGGGCAGCTACAGCAGGGAGCACCACACTAACCAGTCCACTGACCACCCTCAACTTCATGCTGCCTCCAGCCTCATAAGATGGAGAGCAACACGGCTTGTCCAAAACAGTAGGTCAGGGGGAAGCCTTCCTAGCACTGACATACGTCATCAGAATAGAAGAGCCCCCTCATTGCATAACGGGGAAACTAAGGCCCCCAAAGGAGCTCAGGGTGACAAAGCGAGGCAGGACAGAGCCTTCCTGCATCCAGGCCCTCCATCACAGGGACAGCTGGCTCCCACCCAATCCTTTTCATTGCTCCCTGAGTGACAAGACTGGTGAGGACTGAGGACCCTGTTTCCCACCCCCACCAAAGCCTCACCTGCAGATAGTGATAAGTCCTGGCTTTGGCCTTGGCCTCTGGACCCAGGAGCCCCTTGCTTGGCCCGGCCCCTGGGTATCCATCCCGGCCCTGGCCAACCATCATGGTATGCCAGGCACTTCGCTTGACTGATTGTCCATCCAGTGACATGGACATGCCAGTGCAGGCCAGGCAGCGGCCTTCTGACCCGCCCGAGCGCCCCTTGAAGCTCAAGTCCCGGTAGGACCCATCCGGAGCCTCCAGGCAGAAGGGACCACCAGGCTCCCCAGGGGGCCTCCCACCCGCCAGGAAGCCGCTGTCACTGTCCAAGTTGTCATCGGAGCTCCACCAGCCTGTGGACTTGGCCTGGTGCCGCCCATCCCCCTTGCGGTCCTTGCTCTTGCTCCTCTTGCCGTGCCGGGACTGGTGGTGGTGGTGATGGTGGTGGTGATGGTGGTGGTGGGAGGTGTGGGGGCCTCCGGAGCCTGGGCCAGGGTAGCTGTCTCCTCCAGAGCCGCCTCTTCCCTCAGCCTTGGGCCCGTTATAGTCCCGCTTCCCGGGCGCCTCCAGAGAGTGGGACTTGGCAAAGAGCTTCTGAACAGAGTGAACCAGGTGCCGGATGCGGCTCGGGCTCTCGCTGCGGGGCTCTGGAGCAGTGCCAGACCCCTGCCCTGGCCCGGGCCCAGCCCCTGCTGGACCTCGCTGGTATGGTAGCGTGTGGAAGCCATCTTGCTGAACTGGCAACTGCTTTTCAAACTGATCCAGGAGTGTAGGAGGCAGGCGGGGGGCACCCTTGCCCTGTGGGTGGCCCACACAGTCTTCACAGGTGTCAAAGGGGCCCTGGCCGGGGTACATCCTGGGGAAGGTGCTGGAACCCCCCCCAACCCCGGCCCCCCCTGGTCCTCCCTCAGGGCCTACTGATGGCCCTTCACTCAGGCTCAGTGGCCCTTCGGGAGAAAGTTGTCCCAGGCCAGCTCTCGGGGCACAGAAGCGGGGCTCAGTGGAGAAGGCCTCCCTGGAGCCCAGCAGGTACGGGGCCCTGGCAGCTGGGCCCACGTCCATATGCTGCTGGTCAGCAAAGCGGGCTGGGCGGGGATGGCTGCCTCGGTCGCCATGGTAACCCCTCATGGCCTCAGCAAAGGCTCTTCATAGTGTTGGGGGCCAGGCCCCAGGAACCTCCTGGAAAAACAGGGAGAAAAGGGATTTGAATTGAACAACAAACCACTTCACCTAAAACCATCTTTTATTAGGCATTCTCGTATTGCTTTAGGTAATGCATATCAATTTATTGTGAGTAATTGTACTATCTTTCCACAAATAGGCTAAAAAAGTCCTTAAAACAGTCATAATAGACAAAGACACTCACAAGGGCACCAAATGATCCCATCATTCATGAAATGCTGCAAATTTGATAAATACTTATTCGTGAGAGGAAATGCCCTCAGCTGACTGGGTTTTTAAATATCCTTAGATCATCAAAAACAAAAAGATACCCAAGCAGTCATACAAAATATTCAAAGAAACCTATCATTAGGTGAACTAGATTTTCACAAGCTGGCTCTCGGCAAACAGATCCAGAGCCGCAACTCTGCCCAACCATACCCCACAACCCACAGCGCCAGGAGCCAGGCCCCAGTGTCACAGCTCCCAGCCGCGGTGACCAAAGAGAACACTGGACTCAAATCTACATATCCACCACCATTCCGCAGAAAAATCCCTCCCCTTCCTTCCACGCCCCGTTCCTTCCATCTGGCTACAGGCTCATTCTCCCTCCCCTCAGGACTGAGACGGGAAAACCTGAGATGACTTCTCCTCCTTCCCCTTTGGGGTTCCAGAGTTTCCCCAGTGGACTCTCCCCTTTTGCCTTTTACCCCTCCCCAATATACACCCCCCCCACCACTCCCATTCCACTCGGGGGGAGCCATGGAGGGAAGAAAAGCCACAACGAGGAGCAACAGTGGCGATACAAGGTAGCATCTGAATCCTAAACTGGGATTAGAACCCAGGAGTTCCTCCTCCCAGGAGCAGTGGGCTGGCAAGGCAGGAAAGTGTTGGAGAAAAAGCTCTGGAACCAGTGCCCCTGGCCCCCATCCCAGGCTTGCCAAGACTACAGGACAGAGAGGTCAGCTCTCAGCAAGAGCTGCCTCCAATCAGGACTCCAGGAGCTGCCAGGACAGGAGCTACGGCAGGAGGGGGTGACAGCAGGAGGGACAGGGACAGAGGAGCTGGCAGACGGCGCCCTCGCTCATCCCAGACCAGGCTCCTGGGCCATCTGCTGACTAGGAGGGGATGACAGCCTCAAAGACTCCAGACAGTAGCACCTCCGACACTCATTCTCCCTTTCTCCCCACCGCCACCTCCCCACACCCACCCTGTTTCAGGCTGCCTCCAGATCCTGCTCACAGCTCATCTCCTACTATTTCCCGAGCACTTGCTATGTACCAGATACCATGCATACCTAATATTCTCTAATCTCGCTGAAATCCTGTAAGGTAGATATTATCCACACTTACCCATGAGAAAATTGAGCTCCAAATGGTGAGGTCACAAAGCCGGTAAGTGGATGAGTCACTTTGAATCAAGATTCAAACCCAAGTTATTGTGATTTGAGAACCTGAGTCTAATCCCCATCTCTTAGACTCTCCCATCACTCACCATCCGCGGTGTCCCATCCTTGATGTCAGGATCCTCACCGCCAGGCAGAATCCTAACTTTAGAAGGCTCAGGACCACTGGCTCCTAACAGAAAAGAAAAGGATGGTAAGGAAAGGGGGGAAAGGGATTCTCTCAGAGTCCTGAGATGTCTCAGAGTCTCTGGCCTTGACAGTTTCCCTTCCCAACCCCCCAAACCAGGACTGATTGGATCCCCCATGATGCAGAGCCTTTGGACCCCCAGGGGAATGAAGTTGGCTTCATTATGCAAATACATGCAAATGAGCGTACAGGTTGGACTACCTCCAACTGCAGGTGTCTGTGTGATCTGTCCATGGTGCTGAGCCACTGCATTTTCATTGCCCTCAAATATGATTCCATTCCATAAACATTTGTTGAGCAGCTACCATAAGCAAGACTCTGAGTGAGAAGCGTATAGAGGTGATTTAAGTGTGGTCCCTGTCCTCAAGGGGTTTATAGTCTAATAGGGGAACAACTTCTCACGTGACAGAGTTATTTCAGGCAGCTGTATTTTTGCACAAGCTGTTCCCTCCACCTAGAATCTCCTTTCATCCACCCCCAAGCCCTCCCCCTGGCTAACACTTACTCATACTAAGCCCCACCCTCCCTTGAAGACTTTCTGTACTCTTATTCTGGGTAATGCCTCTCTATTGGGCTTTTATAACACCCTGGGTGTCCCCATGAAAGCAGCTATCACACTGCACTAAAATGGTCTGTTTCAGTTTCTGTCTCCCCAACTAGAATGTGGTTTCCTGAAGGATAGGAACCAAGTCCTGCTCATCTCTAAATCTCCAGCAGCTCACTCAGGGCTCTGCCCAGAGCAGGTCCTTAATAAATGTTCACTAAGTAGGTGAATAAACAACTGTGCTGGATGAGATCAGATTCAACAGCGGGGAATCAAGCAGAACTTCCCAGAGAAGACAGTGTTTGAGATGAAGTACAGGATGGCTGTGTGTTCCACAGACAAAGGTGGTGCAGAAGGGGAAAGAGCAAGCACAAAGCAGAAGGGAATTCTGAGGGGTGGGCTGGGAGAGAGCCAGCGGATAGGTGGGGTTTGGCAAACAGTGGGAAGAGGAAAGAGAGAGCCAGAAAGAAAGACGACTCTGAAGTTTGCAGCAGCCGTGACTAGAAGACTAATGATGCCATTATTAGACATGGGGATGTCAGGAAGAAGCGCTAGCTTTGCAAGCATGATTAATAGTAGTGGAAGAGACACAGTCAGACATCAGGAAGAACTTCCTGACCCTAAAGGATATGAGACAATGAAGAAGATTGTGGAGTCTCCTGGGAATCTTCCATAGAGGAGAGGGTGAGATGGGCCCACCCCGTGGCCAACCCCGGCCTGAACAGAAGAAGCTATTGGTTATCTTGTCTGGAGACAGAATGGGATGACCTCACAGATAGCAACTGCCTGGCTCTAGATGACAATTCTTCTCCTTCATTGCCCTTCTCTTGGGAAAGAGGGGACTTTAGACCAAGATGGCCTCTCCAATAGTTGTTGGAAAAGCACCTAGAAGCATCTCCCCACCTTGGAAAGAAGCTCTGATGACCTGGCCTTTCATCCATGGCATGCTCCTCTTCCTGTCCCAGGGAGGACCTGTGTCTGAGGCTCACAGTGCAAAACACCACTTTGGCAGAAGCCCAGACCATCCTATTTGCTTTGTTTGTGGTCACATCAAGCTGGAACCTCACTGGACTTCCCAGCGGTGGACATTCCCAGGTGACCCTCTATCCCCCGCTTCATAGAGGTACTGCTTGCTGCCAAACCACTGAGCTTTCACCAAGATCTTCTCGAACTTCGGTCTCTTTGACGTCAATCCATGTTCTCCCAGCTCTAATCTCAGAGGAGGTGGGCCCCCATCATTGCTGATCTCCAGGCACCCCACCTTCGACCACCCCGACTCTCTTAGGGCAGCACTGTCTAGTGGAAAAGCAGAGGCTCTGAGACCAGAGGGGATGTGACACCAGACAAGCGCCCTACCCTCTCTAAGCCTAATGATACCTGCTCACATATCTGCCAGGACTTCAATGAATACTGAATAATAAAATGCATATGAAACCATTTTTATAAACTCCAAAAGATTACACAATGGATATAATAATACCTCAGGTGAAGGCTTCTTTTGGATTTCCAAAATCCCCAGTATCCAAATAATAAGCAAAATAATCAAATCCAAATGACTGGAGGCAAAGGATATCTGAGCTATGAATTTCCTAAGGAAAAGGTTTAGCTAATGACTGGCTTCCTCTTATATATTATGCTTTACAATCCCATTTCTCCACCCCCTTTTCCCACCTCATGACCACACACAATCAATGAGAAGGAAAAACAGGTGAGGAGGGGACTAATAATCCCATCCACCACCAAATGTCTATGGATTTTTCTCCCTAAAGAATAGATGTGTCCATTTATTTCCAAATCCACCAAATCATTCTTTGGTAACTTGCTAAAACTCATTCCCAACCTCCTTTTTCCTTTCCCAGCCTCCCTTGTAAATAGAGACCACATGATTCAGTTTTGGCTAAAGACATACACTTAAAAATATGATGAGGGTTTCTGGGAAAGAGTTTGCCTTTGTGACCAAAGGGGTGAAGCTTGTAAGTGCCACCCTTTCTCCCCTTCCTTTTGGCTTAAATACAACCACGATGGCCAGAGCTAGGGCAGCTGCATGGCCACCATGAGGGAACAGCCTGGAGAACTGCAGAGATGTCATCCTGCCTGGCATCATTGAGCCACAGAACCAAAACAAGCAGTGGCCTTTCTTCAGGCCTAAACGTGATGAGGAAAGAAAGTCTCATTTAAAGCACTGTTGGCCAGATTTACTGTGGTATTTGCAGCAGAAAGCACTGCTAATGAATCCAACTGTCCCTCAGAACATCGTCTCCTGCCTGTTTGTCTGCAACAGTCTCCTCACTGGTCTCCCTGTTTCCGTTCTCCCCCTGCTCCCATCCAGATGATCATTTGGAAATGCAAATCTGATCATGTCACTTCTCTGCTTAAAACTCTTCACTGGTTCATTGATGTTCTTAGGATAAAATGCCTTAACCAGTCCAACAAGGCCCGCGGGGTCTGGCCCTTCCTACCTTTCCTACATCCTCTCACACCATGCTCCCCTTGCCTTCTCTGCCGCAGCCAGGCCAGTCTTTTGTCAGTCCCATGATCCCTCGCATCACGGGGCCTATTCCCCCTGTTGGGACAGCTTTTCCCACCCACCTCTGCCTTGCTAACTCCTACACACCCTTCAGATCTCGGCCCAGTTGGTTCTTCCTCCAGGAAGCTTTCTCTGGCCTCCCTGACTAGGTCAGATGCCCCTGCTGTTTGCTCTCAAGGCACCATGTACCTGGCTCTTAAATCATTACCATTTTAAATGTGTGTGATTCCAAGACTGTGTGTCTCTCCCACTAGAATGGAAGCTCGACGTAAGTGCGGGGATTTTATCCATCTCATTCACTGCATTCTCCCCAGTCCCTATAACAATGCTTAGCATAGGGCAGGTGTTTGTTGAGTGAATATGCTCCTACAAAGAACAAGATCCTTTCACCTCTGATATTCCAAAGTATAGATAATATTAGCTCCTCCCAACTTACCGAAGAAGAAACTGAGGCTTGGAGAGGCTAAGTGACCTGCCCAAGGTCACACTGAGCTGGTGTCAAAGCCAGAAGTCAAATCCAGTGTTGCCTGACTCCAAAGCCTTAGCTTTTCTCCTATCTGCACTGCCAGCCCAGTGAAGTCAAACTTATTTAAATGCCATTCTGAAATGAACACAGTAATGAAAGTGAATCTGGTCTCTGTTTTTAAGAGAAAAACAAAAAAGCAAACGAATAAAAACACCTCACACATATCACGGCCTCCAGAGCTAATCAGAATATGGTTTAACCTTTTCCTCTGTACAGTGAGCACGCAGTTTATACCAAGTCCAAGGGCATATAAGTACAGAATAAAGGATGCTCCCAGAAGCCTTGTGACAACTCTGGGTGCTGGTGTTATTTTCCCCTTTCACTGCACTAAGTCATCTATCCACGACTCCAGGACCTAGAGGGCTGCCCAGATGGCAAACCTCTGGGCCAAGGGAAGCAGCCACTTTTGCAACTGCCTGTGGACTGGCTGGGAAGTGGGGAGTGAAGGAGTCCAGGAGGGTGCTGTGTGTGACAAATTCTTCTCTGATGCAGCTCAAATCTATCTGGGAATGGAAGAAGTGGCACAGATGCCGTCACCAAGAAATTACCCAATTTAGCACCAACTACACAATCCAGCAATTAGTTTCTTAAACCGGAACTTGCTGGGGGCTGCCAGGCTGGCGGGGTTGTTGTTACAAATCTCACTGGGAAACCAGCTGTGTAATTCGCCAGGAGGTTGTCACTGCCCCAAGCAATTACCTTCCAGAAAAAGAATGGAAAGTGGGGGAAGGAAAAGGGCTGCCCAGGAAGGAGTCAGAGTGTTTTCTCTCCCTCTCCCCAGGGCCCTGCCCAGACAAACCCGTTGGTTTTCCTTTCGTGAGACGTAGGCAACTCCCTGGATCAAAGCAGTTATTGGTGTGGACTCTTACATCAGACTATCTGGACTCAAATAGTGAGTCCCTCACTTACTAGATATGGATACCTGGGCAAGTGATTCTCCTCTCTTAACCTGTTTTCTCATCTGTAAAGTGGGGATAATATTAGAGCCATCAATAAAGGTTCTAATGATGTGATGGTTACAAGGTAAAGTATGTAAATCCCTTAGCACTGTACCTGGCACATGGTAAATACTCAATAAAGGTAGCTATCATTATTTGTACTTTCATTTTCATTATTTCCTCCGTTGGCTTACAGTGTAACCTTGGGGAGGTCACTTAATCTCTCCAGACAACCATCTAAGACCAGAGGTACTCAGCTGGGGAAAAGATAAGTAGTTCTTCCTCAAGACTGTCCACATCTGGGCACCCAGGGATCCAGGTGTGTTTGACAAAGGCCAGTCTCTCAGAGGTTGACACAAAGTGATGCCTTGGGCAAAGATAAAGATTTCAAAAATCAAATATTAGCTGATTCGCTCCTTCCCCAGGAAGCTGTCTGGGAGAGCTACAAGCTGGACATGATGGTCTAGATAACAGCAAAAGGGTACAGCTGCCCTCTTGCTTGGGGTCAGCCCTGTCCAGTCTCCTCATGGAGCCTATGAAGCCGCACCCACACTGGTTCCAACACAGCAGAACTGACAGCAAGCGGGGCCTAGAATTCATCTTGCTGCTGTCAGCCTGAGCTCCTCTGAGCCATGTGCATCCTTAGGGTCTCAAAGTTTCAGGCTTTGCCTACCCTGCCCCCCTCCCTGTGTTGTCCGAACCAGCAGGGCCAGGATTCTACCTCAGTTTCTCTGTCCAGCCCTGCACCACCCCCTGACCTGCCAGCAGCTTGGGTAGCTGAGGCCGTGCGTGCACTGTGAATAGGGGAGACAATGGGAGCCCTACACAGAGCTTCTGACCTGCAGCTCACACTCCTGATTATTCACCTTGACCCACGGACAGGCATTCCTCCCCCGGCCCCTCCCCTCTTCCTGCATCCGGTTCTGCCTGAGCCCCCCCTGAGCAATGTGACACTGGCTTTGCCCTTGGCAGAATCTCTATGGCTGGGCTGGTGCCCTAGTCCCTGGCCTCCCTCCATCCCACTACCCAGCCCTGTAGCTGAAGACTCAGCATGCCTTGTGCCCAACCCCATTCCCTAAGACCCCAAGAAAATCCTCCTTTTCCTACCCTCACTGCCCCAGAAAATACAGAAGGAACCTAATGGAAGGAAGGGGGTTTATGATCTTATTCATTGACCTTTATTACCTTATTTAATCAACTCTTCCAAGGGCTCAGGGCAGGAATTTTACAGAAAATGGGTTTATAGCTCCAAAACACTCGTGACATTTAGGCAGATACAAGTCTAAATCCATCTCCTGACCCATTGGACAGTGCTCAGCCTGTGAATAACCCACACTACCTATAATCTCTTTGAAAATCCCACCTCAGGGGGCTTTGCACTTGATGTTCTCGCTGCTGGAACACTCTGCCCCAGATATTCCCATGGCTTCCTCTGGCTCATCTTTTGGGGCTCAACTCAGAGACGCCTCCCCTGACCACTCACTTTAACTAAAGTTGAGCCTCAACCCTGGGTACGCCCTCTATCACCCTGTTTTGTTGCACTCACAGCATTTATTGCCCTTGGAAATTATTTTCTTTGTCTATTACATGTTTATAGTATATCTCCCCTTAGTAGAACATAAACTTCAAAAGGGCAAGGGCTGTGTCTGTCTTGCAAGCTGCAGTATTTGGAGTGTCTAAAACACTGCCTGGAACTAACAGGTGCGGGAAAAATATTTATTTTTTACATGAATGAATGTCTTCCCTTGCTGCCCCCATCTACTCTGCTCCTGTGCACAACAGCCCACAGAAAGCCCACCCTTTTCCTTCTAAATGCTCTGGAGAGCTCTGGAGGACTTGGTATTAGAAATCCAGCCTCCAAACCCAGCCTTGGTCATCATGCTCTTCTAGCCTCTTCGAGTGGCAGGTAAAGATGGCTCTGTTCCAGCCACATCTAGTTCTCCCCCCATGTCCCTCTCTGCATAGTTTAGGAAAGGCAGTGTAGGGGGAAGGAGGAGGAAAAAGGGAAAAGGTGACCCTCCCCACACTGCAGAGAGAAAGAAGGAGGCTGAGAGGAGGGGGTCTCAAGGCTGAGCTGCAGGAGCAGGCCTCGGGCCCACCGCCTCCCAAGTAGGTCTCTTCACCCAGACTTACTGGGTCCCCCATCCTTTCCCAGGGGCCCATGTACCCAACAGGCACTGGAAGCAAAGTTTGGACTTCCTCCTTCTCCAGGGCTGCCAAAGGCCCTTTGAGACACGAGTCAGCCTGATCAGCCTCACCCGCTCCTACCCCCTAATTGCAGCCACGGCCAGCTGCTTCCGGCTCATTCTCAGCTCTCTTCCCTTTCTGTCAACTGGGCCAGTTCTCAGGCTGTGCTGCCTTGTCACGTCCACTTTCCCCTCTCCCCCTCCTGAAGGTCCCCAGGAGCCTTCTGTGGGGAAGGCTGTCTACTGAGAGGGAGGACGCCCAGACCAGAATTTCCACAGGACCCCACTTAGGGGCAGGTGGTGACACAGACTGTGGCTTCTGTGTCTTGGGCCAAACTGAGTTCTTATCCCAGGCCCACCACTTACTAGACGTGTAGCTTTAAGGAAGTCCCTTCATCTATCTCAAGTTCAGTTTCCCCATTTTCAAACAGGGCAAGAATAGTCCCTTTCTCATGGTGATGTCACGAGGATTGTGATAATGCAGGTAAAATGCCTGACACAGTGCTGAGTGTTAGCTTTTGCTAACTAGGAAGAAACCACTTAAATGCATGAGACCTAGAAACAGGGGCACCGAAGGGGTTTCTCAGACAGCTTTGGGCAGAGGCTGTAGCCATACCAGACTTCAGTTGGGATCAGAAAGGAGTAGTCTGAAAATGCATTTGTTCATACACCTAGAAATTTCTGTTTGCCTGGGCTCCTTATGAAGACCTCCCATAGCTTGAGCATACAGAACACTGTAAAGCAGCCCTGGTGGCCAAGGATGGTGGCATCTAAGAAGATCAGAGGCCCTTGATTCACAGACCCCCACAAACCCCAGCAGCCAGGGCTTGGTCTCTTGTCCAAGTCCAAGGATCTGGAAGGGAAAGCCCAGAGACCTCACAGCTGGGTATTGGAGAGACAGTCATCCACCTCCATCCATTATATCACAACCTACCTGCATGATCATGAACAACTTGTTTTATTTATCTGAGCCTCAGTATTATCATCTATAAAATAGTGATAACAAAACCTCCCTCCTTAGGTTATGGCAATGAGTGACTTAGCTGATCTATCCATGGCAATAGCACCCTAGTGCCTTCTTCAATCTATATGTGATTTGGCCTGGTATTGTCCTGGCCTCCAGGGTGTGCCACACCTGAGCCTGCCACTAGAAAACAAGAGGTGGAAGTTCAAGCCCATGGCAGGGGACTGTTGGATAGAAGCTGCTCAGCCAGGCCAGGCCCATAGCCTTTCCTACCCACTGGCCTAGGTGTCTGGTCCCCTTATGGGGTCCAGAGTTTAGAACTGCTTCCTGGGTTAGCACACTGTCCTGAAAGCTATCTCTGTGAGCTGGGACAGGAGCTTCCAGCACCTTTTGGGTCCCTCCCACAGGGGAGTCAAGCACACACCTGGGCCCCACAGGGCCCCAGGAAGGCTGGTTGCTTGGCTGACTGTGGGGCTCACATAGTGGTGTCTCCCACCACTCAGCTCTTCCTGCCCCTGTCCCAGACACAGGGATATCTAAGCCTCTGCTCTCCTCTCTGGATTTCTGGGCTCAGGAGGAGAAAAGACAGCTGGGAGCTAGGGACAGAGCACATGCAGAGAAGAGGCTGCACAGACTGCAAGATCCCTTCATATGGATGACGTGTGCTCCCAGCTTTACCCTCTGAGGCAGCTCAGGTGTACTCTCTTCCACGAAGCCTTCCCTAAGAGTGCCCTTCCCGTCCATGCCAGGACACAGCAGCTGCTACCGCCTTTGGGGTCCCTTATCTGTATTTAGCACTGTGGGGTCAATAGTTATTTGCAGGCTGTGAGCTCCTCGAAGGCCAGGATTCACGTGATCTATCTCTGTATGGCCAAACAGGGCATACAGCAGGTGTTCAATGAGTTCAGGGTCAGCGACTGAGCCCTCAAGTAGTACCCCACAGCTGAGGCATGGGGAAAGGGGGAGAAACGGGAAAACGCAAGAGGGCAATGACTCCCTGCAGCTGGACCAGAACTGCCCAGCAGGCAAAGCCAGTCCAGAGCGATGTGGTTTTCCTAAAGAGTGTCCTGTTCAGGGAGGCATGCAACCAGAGGCTGGACGACCACTCTGCAGGATGGTACAGAGTGGATTCAAGCACTGAACACATTTCAGACCAGACAACCTGTGGGGCCTTTCGACTCTGAAGTCTAAGGTTTGGCTCTCTGAAAGCCTACAACCACACAGGCCTGGTATTAAGCACTTTAAAGATACATTTCCTCGTATAACCCTCAAAACTATTCTTTGCAGTAGGTACTATTGTTACTCCCATTTTACGGATGAGGAAACTGAGGCTTAGAAAGATAAAAAAAATTGCCCAAGGTCACACGGGTGGTGAAAGAAGGATTTGAATCTAGGTCTGAGTCCAGGCCTGACACTCTCAACCTCTAGGAGACCAAGCCCCAGTGAGCAGAGTACGTCTAAAGTGCCATGTCTCCCTGACCACACTGGGCTGATGAGGCCAGCAGGTGGAGTCCAGGGTGCCCCGACTCATCTCTCAGCCTCAGGAAACCTCCATCTCTGCTCCCTCTCCCTCACACTTGCCATACATGTCCCCAAGACTGCTCATTCACAAATTAACACTCATGTTCATCCAGAGACTAATTACATAGCCACGCAGCCATCCACACACAACTTACATGGCATCTGTCCTCACATACCTAGTCATGGTCACATAATACACACAGATACACACAAACTTGTCTTCACAGTGTTCATACACATGTGCACTGTTACCCAATAGATATTGATACTCATGTGCATAGACGCTGCACAGCTACAAGACCTTAAATACATGTTCACATGTTCATCCCCACATGACAGATATGCATGTGCATTTCACAGCACTTAGGCACCCACATCTGCTCAGTGTCATACACCACATCCTCCCCCAATAAGGACTTTATCCATTGTTCCCAGATCCAGTACTAGGCCCAGGTGAGCAATGATGCTCCATTTCTCTGGGGCTGGCCAGGCAGTCCAGGGAGGGAAGGAAGGCTCAGCTTGCCTGTGATGGATGGAATTAATCTACTGAGCTGGAGAAACTAAATAATTAAATCCCTAATCACCCCCCAAGTCAGCCCAGGCCAATATAGCTGAGGGAGGGAGGGGGCTCTGAGGCCCAGACCAATATCCCAGACAGGGGGAGGGGCTTGGAAAGAGAGGCACAGACAGAACCCTCTAGGAGGGTGCTCTGGGAAGAACTCTGGCCGGCAGGCAGGCAGACAGACAGACAGACACGGCTCTCCACTCCCACAGACTCTCCCCTCCACATGGAATAGTGTGGCCTGGGAAGACGGCCACTTCCCACTGAAACAAGGTGAGAGGAGGGGTGCAATCCTCCTCCCAATCCTAGGAGCCCTCCCTGCCCCTCCTCGAGATGCATCCTGGGAGTATATGGAGACACTGAAAGTGCCCAGGACTGCAGCGGACAACGGGGTCTGCTCAAAGCGGAGCACACGTGGGACCAGTCGGGCCTCGGCCCACCCCTGCCCCACAGAGCACAGGCTGCTCCCCCAGCCGGGCACGATGGCAGGGCAGGGCCCCTCCACTCGGGTTCACCTGCTGCCCTTTAGGAAGTGGGTCCAGCACGTGGCTAACAGGCTGAGGATGGGGCAGAGGCCTGGGCAGGGGGGCTCAGGGAATCAGCCTGGGAACAGGCCCCAGTCCTATTGGCTGAAAAGTGGGTCATTTTCCTTTTGAAAAATAGTGAGAAAATGGAGAAGTAGGTCGGGCTCTTATCCCCTCAGCCCCAGGCACCATCCCCGACTTGCGGGTGGGGAAGGAGAGGCCTGCACATGCCAAAGCCCCATGTCCCCCGGGACCCTGGCCAGGGCCCCGCAGAGCAGGGGGCCAAGGTCATCATTACTCAGGACACCCAAGGACATGCACACTCTGAGGCCAGGGCTGGAACACCAGCCCCACCCTGCCCTGGGGGGCCTTGGGGTGAGCCGAGCTGGGGTCAGGCCAAGCTAGAGGGTGGGGGTCCAGCACGGAGGACCCTGAGGATCCCCCTCCCATCCTCACGTCTGCTGTGATGCCTCCTCTCTTCTCTTCTCCTCCCTTTCCTCATCGTCCACGTGGGCAGAGGCGTTGCCATGACACCGCGGGCAGGTGGGCGGCTCTGGCGGCTGTTCTGGCCCAACCCCCATGCTCACAGCCCAGGTGGGAGGGGAGCAGCGGCAGCACCCCGGCCCCTTGCCCAGATGAGCAGGGAGAGAGGCGAATGGCCCCCTACACCCCAGAACCTGGAAGAGGCTGTATCAGTGGCCTTGGGAATAAAGCAGCCCAGCCCCAGGCTTGGGGGTCCGGCAAGGAACTCTCAAAGAGGCTAGCAGGCCTTGACCTCTCCCTGCCACCAGAGGTCAGGGAGCAGCATGGGGTGGGGGGAACCCACAACTCCCACTTCGTCCTCCTTTTACCCCCAGCTGTCCTCCCAGCTTTCCCGCATCCTGTGCCGCAGTCCCTTCACACCCGCAGCTGATTGGTCCTGCCTGAGGTTTAACCTCAGTTTCTCACTCTGCAACACAAGCTCGAGTCTCCATGCTCTCTTGGGAGAAAGGAAAACAACCAAAGTGGACACTCTCAGAGAAATTCCTCCCCCACTGCCTACCCCCAAACTGTCTTATGGGGACCCCTTTCTCTGGGTCTCCCCACATACCTGAATTCACACCACAGCCTGGGGGGACCAGTAACTCCTAAGCCCAAGCTTGGCTAAGGCACCCACAGCACCAGGGGACAGGGGAGAGGACCTGGAATGGAGCAGGAGAGAAAGGGAGGGAGGGGAGAGGTGGGACAGACAGCAGAAGCTGCCCAAGGGTGCTGTCCTGTTCCCACACATCTGGCTTCAGGGAGTCTTGGCCATGCCTGGGCGCCCCTGCTCTGAGCTCTCCGCAGTCATTTCTCTTCTCCCTCTGCTCTCTCGGTCCACGTGTCTCTCTCTGAGAGTCTCTAAGTCTCTGTCTGTGGCTCGAACTTCTTAAGACCGTTCCCACTGTTCAGGACGCTGCTCCCAAATCATGTTCCCTAAGGCAGGTGCCCTGCATCACTGACGGAATGGGACCACAGAGACCCCTGGCTGGCAGGGGTGGGCATACGTGGCATGGTGGTGAGAAGACACAACAGGGAGAATGGTAGTCAGGGTTAGCTGGAGGGTGTCCAGCTTGTCGTGGGCTGTTCATGACATACATACCACATGTGCCCAAAAAGACACTTTTGCTTTCCTCCTTAGCCTTCCCCTACCAAGACAGCAAATCTGGCTAAAATATATATGTGCACATGCATGTGTGTGTCCATGCATGTGTTTGTACACTGATCTCCTTTCTCCACTTCTACTGCTGCTGTTCTAAGTCATCCTAATATCTCACCAGAGCTATTACAACAGGTCTCCCGGCCTTGCATCTTGTTCCACCTTGATCCTCTCTCCTCACTGGCTGCCAGCTATCTAAAATATGTTCATTCAACAAATATGTATGGAGTGCCTACTCCAAGCCAGATAGATACGGCAATGAACGAAAACAGATGAAGCTCTCATTCTCATGAAGTCAATACTCTGGTGCAGAAGGAGAGATGATAAACAAATACCCGAAATAATGGTGGTGGTGAGTACTGAAATAAACATAATAATAAAGTGGGTGAGGAGACAGAATGACAAACGGATATTTAAGATAGGCTACTGGGGAGCCCTCTCTGAAAATGTGACTTTTGGGCAAAGACCTGAATACGGTGAGGGAGCGAGTTGCCTGGATATCTGGGAGAAGAGCATTTCAGACAGAGGGAAAACGCAAGTGCAACAGCCTCAAGGTGGGACTGTGCTCTTCATGGAACAGAAAGGAAGCCCGCGTAGGAGTGGTCCCTGAGACCAGGAAGGAGATTGGGGGCTGTTTCACACACAGCACTCACGTCACCCAGGCCCCACTGGGCACCTTGGACTTCACTCCAGGTGAAATGGAAAGCCATCGGAAAGGCAAAATTTCACCTCACTCTGGCTGCTTTTTAGGGGACAGTCTAAGGAGGTGGGAATAGCAAGGGTAGAAGCAGGAAGACCATTTAGGACATTTCCTGTCACTGAAATACCTTTTGCCATAGTTGCCAACTTGGTAAACACCTGTTCAATTTTTAAGGCTCAGCTCAAAGGGCTCCCCTCCTATGGATCAAACCTCTCTCTTGCCTACTCCAGAACAAACCTCGCCCTCTTTAGGTCCCCACTGCCCCCCATGAATACTTATATGCATCAACCTTCCTCAACACCCTCCTTACTTGGCTCCAGGTCTTTCGCCCTCTCTGGAGTATAAGCTTCCTGAGGTCAAGGGCCGTCCCTAGTGTCTAGCACAGCACATGGCACATTATAGGCATAAAACAAACACAGGCTGAACGAACAGTTGCATTGGGCAAAGCACAGTGATGGGGAAGTGATTGTTTGCAGGCTGTTGTTAACCTGGGCAAGTGAGGTGCACAGATATATGGCCACGGGGTGCAATCAGGGCAGTGTTAGCATATGCCCACGTATTTCTATATACTCTGTTCACATACACATGTTTATTAGCATATATGTGCACAGTGACGAACCCCTGTGTTGGTATATACACTTCCATAGATATTTTTCATGTATGTACATATTAGTAAGTGGACCTATGTTGATATATGCATATTATGGTGCAGACAGGTAATATATACATATACATGTATACATGTATTGCCACATGTCCCATATGTGTGAAGCTTATGCACACACACCTGGGTCTCCCTTATATCCCATACCACTTTGATCCACTAAGCCAAACTTCTTGATTGTTGAAACTGCATTAGTAACACCAGTGTTTCAGTCCCCACATATACCCTGAGCACCACAGCATCCAAACAGCCTTGAGCCTGGATCTCTCACTCAGCTGCCCCCAAGGCCTGCATAGGATTTCCCTCAGCAAACTCCCTTCACATAGATGGTGGTGGGAACAGTTGGCTCCTGAGGACATGAGAATTTGAGAGACCTCAGACAGTCTACTTTCTGGAGAAGACCCACAGGCACTGGGGCGGATCAAGTTCAAGCTAATAAGAAAACAATTTTTGGGCAGCCCAACATTCATCAGAATCAATCTCTCTGTCTCTCTCCCTCTCTTTCATTTATTCACATTATGATTCAATTTATGTACATATATTCATAGGTTGTTAATTCATGTGTATATATGTGTACCCCACATACATGCTCACATGCATGCTTACACTCACACATATGCATCACTTGATAAGCACATCAGACACACACACAGAGACACACAGGTTTAATTAATCACCTTCAAAGTCACACATGTACATGGATTCATACCTAGTCATATATACATACACACACGTACACATTTGTCCACACTTATACAGATAAATGTGCGTATACACACACACACATAACATATTCACACATAATTATATACATATCCACAGTCATATGCCCACTCACAGGAAGAAATATACATGCACGTGCACCGGAGTCACAGGTCCTGCAGAGATATCCAGGCCATCTCACGGCTTCTATCCTGTCCACAAAGCCAGGAGTCCATATTCTCTCCAAGTATATCACAAGTTTGCATTTTCTCTCTCCTCTTGCTAGTCTCCCACTTCTTCATTTAAAAAGTTGTTCCTGATATCAATAGGATATATCCCAGTCCTGGACACATCCTATGCCCACCCACTCTCAGAAAGAAAAAAATCCATTTTTAAAAAGGGCTCTATAATTTTCTTGTCCCATTCCTGGAGAAACCAATATTTCCTCAGGCAACCTGGGTGGGAGTAACAATGAACAGATGCACCTTGGAATAGGTGCATCTCTTCCTACCCAAGAGGCAGCTCCCCCACATATACAACCCCTTAATTCTAAAAAAAAAAAAGGAAATGCAGGGGAAATATCCAGAGTCTTTCCTCCCAGCACCTCTGGGTATAGTCCACCACTCTCAAACCCCAGAACAGTTATTGGCAGGGGAAGAAACAGTAAGGAAATTATCTCTGGGCCCTAAAACCTTCTAGGATGTCCCTCTTCTTCCCTAGAGGGCAGCTTCATGATGTTCAGTGAACCCCTCCCTTCCTAGCCTGAGGGCCCTGCATAGGGAGAGGGTAGACCACGAGGCTTAAAAATATAAAGAGGGTGACCTGGGCTCAAAATAACAAAAGAAGTAAGTATTTAAAAACAGGAGCTGGGTAGAGAGCAGGGAAGCAAGCTGCAGACACCTCCTGGCAGGGAAGCAGCTGCTAGAACACTGGATCATGAATAGCAGGACTCTCCAAGGGGCCAGGGAGAAGGGGGTGGACATCTAGCATTCCATGTGGGGGTGGAGGGGTGACTGCTTCAGGCAGTAGCAGCAGCTCCAAAGTAAAGTCTTATCAAAGCTGTTATGTAACCAAGGGAGCTGAGTAGAGCACAAACACCTCCCCTCCCCAAACAGGCACCCACACCCACACCCACCACCTCCCAGCACCCACAGCATAGGAAAACTCAGCTCCTCCCAAGCAGCTAGAAAAGAGAGAAATCTTGATGAGTTACATCAAAAACATGATGGGTGAGGGGCTCCTTACTAACTAGAAGTCACATCTGGCAAGGGATGAACTGGTTCAGTTTGGAGTCCTCAGTTACCTCTCCCTTTTCTTGAACTCCCTGCCACACCCAGTTTTTGCCCAGCATTATCCGGAAACCCTCTCCTTCCTCTCCCTCCAGAAGGATCCCATTTGAATATTTGATTGTGCTCTTGGGGATCGGAGGTGAAGCTGCCATCCACCCCTCCTGCCTGTTGTTCCCCTAGTCTCATCTGCATGTCCTGACATTTGGCTTTCATCCCCCTGGGATGACAAGGGAAAGGACCTGGAGAAATAACTCCTGTGCCTATTCCCTTCATGGTTACAAAGATAGCGCATAAGACCCCAGATAGCTGATATGACCCTGACCCTATGCCAGTAAGAAAAAGATATCTGAGGGAACTGAGGATTGAAATCCAGACCTCACTCCCCAG